GGCTCTCACCGCCCTCACTGTGAAACATTTCGTCCTTATATCTAATCTAAATTTCCCCTCTTGCAGTTGGAAACCGTTACTCCTTGTCCTATCTCTTCACTCCCTGGTGACGAGTGGCCCTTGTGCTCTGTGATGACACCAGAGAGCTGGCTCCCGCCCTTGGTGGAGCAGGCAGCGTTGGGTGTAACCCAGCGAAGATAGTGGGAGCAGGGTGTCCCCAGCGCAGAAGCCAGCTGGGTGCTACACTGGCCCATCTCAGTGGCCCTGGGGTGCTGTGTGGCTGCTCCTGGGCAACGGGTCAGCAGCTGCCCACAGCCATGGGCTGAGAGCCTGGCTAGGGGACAGCCCAGCGCTGGCCAGAGGCCCTGGCATGACACGTGGGATTGCCTTCCAAAGGCTGGCCTGTGAGCTCTTCGCCTTGTCTAGCTTAATTTTCTTCTGCCTTTGTAATAGTCAGTCATAAGCGTTTCAGGAGAAAAGATGTAAAAGTCACCTGAAGCCCCTTTACACTGACTAACTGCAGGTGTGCGCGGTTTTGAGCCTGTTCTCTGAGCAGGCAGAGAAAATTCCTAGGGAATTTGGGTTTTTACAGAAAAGAAGTAGCAGTAACTTTGGAAGGAGACAATTTTGAAATTCCTGCGCCTGAAAAAGAAAGGCTCTCTTGATTTGCGGTTTTAAGAAATGTAATTTAACAATTGAATTTGTCGTAATGCCAGGCCGCGTGTTATTCCTTAGCACTTTGTCGAAAAAGAAGAAATAACCACTAACAGCAGCAGTAGAGCAGATTGCCTCCCCTCTGGTTATGCAGTAACAATGGAGAATTCTGATGAAGAAAACTTCGGTGTGGCCATGTGAGTATGCTGCGTTCTGTGTCCAGTTTTCAATAAGCTAATTACTAGGTAAAATGTCTTAATAGGAATATAACTACACCAATTAATTGACAGCACCCTGATTAGCAGATTCTGCCTCTTAGGAGAGCAGAGGTGCAGAATGCAAAGCTCCAGAAGGGGTAACATCAGTTCAGAGTTTAGGTGAAGCCAAACTAAATATGACTGCGGTGAGCGCAGCACCACCTGGCTGGGTGAGCAAAATAAAGGCTGCAAGGCTGAAAATTATTCTTCTCGGTTCGTTTTAAGTTCAAAACTTCTCTTCAAGAGCATGCGTTGTCTCATGTCACGGATTTTAAAAAGAGACTATTCCTCTGTGCTTGAATGTGCTCCTTCTAGATGGGTGAGACATTTTACACGTGGCCTCGGCCAAATTTTACGCTGATGGTCACTAAGACTCTACTTCACTCCGCATTTGTCCGACATACTCTTCTCCTTGTGGCAGAAGGGGATGCGTGCCTCTGCCTCTGTCCCTCTGGTTCACAGAATAAGCCCTAAAACTAGTCATAGCGCTTACTTGGAGTGGGGTAAAGAGTGGAAATTATGTGTCGCAGTCTCCTGTCCTTGCATGTGGCAAGCACTGAGTCCTGTGGCCTGAAGTCCCAAGTCCTGTGCGTCTCCTGAGACACAACAGATGAGAAAGGTTGCTAGAGCGTCGCCGGGTGATCAGACACCTTTTTAAGTCAGATCTCTTTTCAGGATGAGCCCTATGACCCATTATGGTTAAAGTGCTCATGGATTATGAGCCCGTTATGGATTAATTTCACCAGAGTATTGTTCAACAGCAAAACAATGAGTTTTTTAAAACTTACTCTGAAAGTGTGTTTTGCTCTGTTTACTAAAGAGAAGTTTGAATGAGGGAGGCTTTTAATGTAAGTGGTGCTTTCACTATTCAAAGCTATGGTTTTTTCCTTCAAGCCAAATGCCCTCTAAGACTTGTTTCCCTCATGTGTGAGAAAAGCCCATCCTGGAGCATGCAGGATGAGTTCATTGCCCTTTAAGGATGAGCCGGGAATGCCAAGGCGATCCTGCGGATTACTTACTGGGTCTGAAAAAGCTGCACAATAATAGATCTAGCAGAGGCATCCAGAGTCCTGAGATGCTGGTGTCAAGGGTTTCTTCCCTGGATGACAGATCCGTGACAGTATTTAATATTTGCTACTGATCCAATGGCTTTAGGAGAACATGCCATTTCTTTGCAAAGATGATTCTTGCATAAGAAAAATTTAAGTTTCTTCCGTTATATAACACTTGTGGAGGCATTGAGTTTAAGTGGTTCCACAACACCACATATTTCAAGATAATTCTTAAAGACTAGAGTTCTGTGATCACCGCATAGAGTTACGCGGGGAAGAGAGCAGAAGAGAAGTTTGTAGTAGCAGCTGGGATTTGTGGGTTGGAAAAGGCTTAACTTGCTCTTCTAATTACACTCTTTACATCCTTCTGCACCAGCACTGACATTACCTTGACAGCAGTGCCAGGAAAACATTTATTTTTTTCATTAGGCACCTTAACCAGGAGAAATAGAGGCCTGATGAGAATCCCCATTAAGCAGGTTTATCGTCCATGTCGTGGATTGTGTCTGTATGTTGAAACTTGGAAATTACCCAGTTATCTTGTAAGCACCGGACTTCTTGGTGCTTGGGGTTCTGTTACCACTTTTTCATTTGAACTTTTATTTCGCCTGTGCTTGAAATGTGTATTTACGTGGTACTGTCTTCCTTCGCTTTCAGCTCCTCCCCTTCAGACGCCGAGTTTGATGCAGTTGTTGGCTACCTGGAGGATATCATAATGGGTGAGCTCTGCAAGTAGTTGTAGACGACACGATGGGCACTAAAAATATTTCGAGCTGCTCCTCGAGCAGACCTACAGAGCTGAAATATCCCCTGCCTGCTTCACAGGAGCTTTCTATCCTTTGCTCCCATGACGCGTAGTAAAAAAAATACAAGTTTTTTGTGTGCTCTTTGCACAACGGGGGGCTGATGAGTCTTGAAGACAATTCTCTGCGCCGCGGTAACCCGCTGCTTCTTAAATAAAGTGGGCAGATACTTGTGAGTTGAGGGGTTTTGAGTCGATTTTGTTGCGTGTAACTCGCACGTGCGCATACAGTTGGAACGTGGCAGGGCTTGTGTGTAGCAGGAACATCGGGTGGTGCCAGCCTCATCGTGTGAGCTTTGGAAATAAAAGGTCCTAAACTCTCAGGACCATAATTATAACCGAGGAATCAGTCTGGGCAAGGCAGTAGTTTACAAGTTGCCAAGAAAGAATTCATGCTGCTCAGCCTCCTGTCGCTTTGTAAGAGCAGCATGTAATCTTTTTTGACGACATCCTTCGCAGAGAGATGTTGATTCTGCAGCCTCAGTTGTCCGATAGAGTCTGGAGAAATGGTAACAAAACTGATTTTGAATGAGTCAGGGTTTGGAAAGCTGGGACTGGGTGTGTAAGTAAGCTTTATATATTTGTATCTGTTCTGTTGCATTCAGTGGTGACCTGATCGTATTTATTCTTATTTCCTTCCACAACTGCAAAAAAAACTGTGCGGCAATCGAAAATTAATCTGGGAGTTTGGCTAATATTTTTTTAATTCAAAAATAATGAATTCTTGTAGGGAAGAAGCACTCACTTTACAAAAAAAAAAGTAAAATAGAGACTTTTTGGCTGATTCTAAACTCCTAAGAAGTAATTACAGACCTTGTCGGGTGGACGCATCCGTCTCATCCTGTTGTGAACATGCAGCTGCTGCTGGAACGCCGGCTGCCACCCTCTC